AATTTCCCACAAAAGAATTAGACCTTCATACTGCTCAGAGCAGTTGTGATAAAAACTTAATGTTTCACAATAATTAAAAAAAAAAATATATAGGTAAAAGTCCAGGAGAATAAAAACCGAATGTTAAAAAAAAATGTATTATTCTAATTTCTGACCTTAAAAAAGCTGCCTGACGTCATGCTATGTGCTGGAGCCGGTGAAACAGGGAAGGTTAATACACTTGGCGGCATACCAGCCTTCAACACCCTTAAATATTGTTCTTAAAAATATTATAAAAATTAGGGGTTATTTAGCTTTGCTTGAACAAGCCTGGATTTGATTAATCTTAAAACTTCAAAATTTATTAAAAATTCGTTAAATATAAACGTATGATACTTAAGAATGGGACTTTAAAAACACTTATTATCACGTCTGTTGCAAAAAAGACGCACTTATAGAACCGCAAAAATACAGGGGACATTAGTTCCAAAACTAATGTCCCCTGTAATAACGAAGCAAGCTATTAAGACTGTACTATTCAGAACGCACTAAAGTCTGACATACATGCTTCGCAGCTTTATACCATAGAATATATTGACAGTTTGATTCTGTGACTAATATCAAGTTAAAAATGAGAGAATTTTTCACGGAAACCGTAGAAACTTTGAAATCAAGGGTGGTAGTTCATAGGGGGGGNTTTAAATCTTGTATGCAATTGAACGAACTTCTGTTCACTCCCCTGATCAGAATTACTCACCATGCAGGACAAAATTTAAAAGAGTAAAAAGTATGAGTCAAGGGAGAAAACGAAGAGAACTGTGAATTGAACCGGGAGTTTTAAAACGTGACACATTTCATATAAAGATTATAGTAAATGCAGTTTTACTATCATATATCCTGCATGTATATTTTATCTATATATATACTTGGCTTGGCTGTTTGTTTTTAACCAAAAAACGTCTAAACGACTGAACCGATCGGGCCCAAAATTTGCCTTATTTTTTTTTTTGATTTTTGAAAAAAATCGATAAAAGAGCAACTAGTTAAAGTTAAAATTGAATCCTAGAATTGTATATAAACATTTATCTAACATCAGGGATGTAAACTAGATATATTGAACGCTTTTATATAAACCTCTTTGTATTGAACCCAAATTTCAATTTACAGTTTTTAAAGAATTTTGGTTATCCACGTTTGTGAAAAATATGCTACAATATGCTTGCAAAAGTAAGAAGCAAAGATTATAAATAGATATAGTGCAGTCTGATAGTTTTATAGTTTTACAGTAGAAGATAAGAATGTGAATTTTAGGATAAAAATTACATGTCTCTTCCGGTTTTTAAAGGTTCAATTTCAGTTATTACATTGTTTTCTTGTTTCTCAGACACTGGGCCGGGATAAATGGAACCGATGTTATTAGGGCCTGAGTCTAAAACTAAAGAACGAAAAGTTTTGACTTAAATTTTAAGTTCAGGGTTAAATGCCACTTCTGACTTAATTTAAACCTGAACTTTAACCGTGAGGTTAAATATTTAACCCTGTGGTTAAATATTTAATTCGCCGAAATCGACGAGTTAAAATTAAAACACAGGTTTAAAATCTTGAAATCCTGCATTTTCCCTATTGTCTATTATTCAATCATCATTCAGCTGAGAATTAGCGGCATTTAACTTTACGATATATTTAAAAGTGAAAACCTTGGTAAAGAAAATTCACGTTTTAGATAAATTAATTTTTGCATGTAAACCCCAAAAACTGTTGTAACTCGAAATATGTTTTGTTTTCGGTTACGTAATAACAGCTGATTAGCGATGGTTATGTAATATTCTCCGTAAATCCTTTTCTCTGATTGGTTAAGATTTTTCCCGGGAAATTCAAATTTAAAATTGAGTCAGTTTAATATTTAAGTAGCTATTCATTATTTTACAGAACTTTTAACCTCGAACTTAAAATTCGCACATTCTTTAGTTTTAGACTCTGGTTACTTCAAAGTAAGTTGACTTTCTCTTTAAAAACTTAGCATAGATTTTGATTGTTTTATCACTGCAAAAAAAAGTACGCAAAATAAACGAGGCATACAATATTAATAATCAAATGTTGCAAAGAGATTAAAATTTTATAAAGGAATTGAGTTTCTGACACAAACTCTGATTTTCTAAACCTTATATCTTTTAAACACATAATTGTAGACCTTCAATATTTTCAAACTATGATTTATGTTAGACCAAATAATCTAAGTTTGAAATATCAAAGGTTTGAACCATTAGGTTGTAAAGACATAGGAAATATAAATTTTTAGTTTATGGCAAAAACTCAGTTCTTTTGTTAAAGTTAAAGTTAAAATTAAATTAATTAAACAAGAAAATTTCGTAAACTTTGAAATTCATGCTTAAAAAATCCTTTTTTTTCGCATTGACAAAGGATGAGTATTTTTAAAATACATCTTATTTTGTTTTAATTAATTTTTTACAAGTATTAAAATTCTTTAGCCTGAAACCTTTTGAATGAAACTAACGTATAAAATCTAAATATACAGAAGTATTGCAGCTTTTTTTTAATCTCAAGGATACAGATAAATTCTTTTATTCGTTCTTTTTGCATCAAGTTGCTCGCAGACCTTTTCATTGCTAGTTTGACAGTAAAAATATTCTAAAATGACATTTTATGCTTTTTCGAGGTCTTTGCAACATGGAGTCAGCCAGCCACAACATTTAGGTTTGTGTTTGTTTTCAATTTATTATGTGTGTGTGTGTGTCACAAAGATATTTTGTGTTACAAAAGTGAAATAATTTTGTTTTCAATTTGTTCATCAAATTACTCCTTCTTTCCCTTGACTATTTAATTATATGTTAATAACAAAAAATATTTGTTTTAGTTTGAAGATAATAAGGGGAATATTAGGAAAGTTTTTTGTGGGACTAAAAAACTTAAGATGAAGCTCATTGTTTAGCGTGGGAAAAGTTGGAAGGTAAGGTTGATTGTTTAAAAATAACTAATTTCATTATTTAGTTTTCCGGGATTTAAAACTTAAAGCCTTTGCAAACTTTCAATCTTGATGAATCCAATTTAGACAAAAAATATTTTTGAAAAAAGACACATGGAGTGGATTTCCTCTTAACCAGTGCTTAGGATTCATTTTATTTTGATGTGGATTCGACTACTGGATCCTTGGATCTGAGTAATTTTGAAAATCTGGATTTAGGAAGCCAAAATGTTACGGAACCAGTGGATCTTGATCCTAAGCACTGCTTCGAAAATCAAATAAAAGTTTGGATCAACCATAATTGGAACTGAAAACAAACGCTAACTTTCAAATTCCTTAATCTTTACAACCTCAGACCGAATTTAAAGAATTTAAGCCGCAGCTCAAATATGGTTGGTTTCACTTAAAATCATATTCAATGTTTCAAGATTTAAGCCGGCGCTCAATTGAAACCGTTTTTTGGGGGTTTGAGACGCGACTCAAATTCATTTAATTCTGACTCTGATGGTTTAAACCGTAAATATTACAAACTTGAGACTTTTTTATTTAGCAAAATTAATAGTTTGAAATATAAAAGGTCTACGATTAGAGAAGGATTTAAATTGGTAGCTTAAACCGGGGGTAAGCAGATCAAATTTATTAAATTCGGTCCCAGAAACGGAATTTAAAGAATTTGAGCCGCGGTTTAAATCCGCCAAAACCCAGGTTGCTAAGATATAGGGATTAAGAAATTAAGAATTTGTGACTAGAGTTTTGAACCTTGGTTAATTTATGTGGTTTATTTGATCGTAATTGCATTTCTAAAATATTATATAAGCAGTAAAAAGTATTTAGGTTTGCAACTTAAAACAAACTAATAACAAACAAACAAATCAGATCTAAAATCTTTTTATCCGTCAGATACTTCAGGTACGTTTTATATTGACAAATGGGGAATTTTTTTCCTTGGAAATTGCAAGCTTGATTTCGGACATTTTTTGATAAAATAATCTTTGTTATATTTCAATTTTAACTAAAGTATAACGAAATGCCCGGTTCTGAAGCCAGACAACTACTAAACAGATGAATATCATACAAAAGTGCTGAGAGAATTTTAAACTCGGGGGAAATATTAATAAAAATATAAAAATCATGAAAATATCCTTGATATCACAAATATTTCATATAACACTGTACAAGAAGGTGATAAAAAGTTTTGTGGTTTCTATTTAGTTAGAATAATTGTTGGAAAAAAGAATAGTGATTTTTTTTTCTGAATTTTTATGTTTTTTAGCATGTTTGCAGGGTTGCGGGGTATGCTTTCGGTTTTTTTTCTCATTTTTTTTTTAATACCTCCTTTAAACCAACATAACGGAACCTAAGTCCCCCAAAAGCAGAATTTTTAAGTTACTTAACGGTACCTTCGGACGATTAAGAAAAACTTATCTCGTCTTGCAAAAAATTATTAAAATAATTTGCGCATTTGAATCAAAAAAGAGTACCCAAACCGAAATATATTTTTAAAAAATGTGTAATTAACACCTATTTTTTACTTTGTGAGATGTGGAGCATTATTTATACAGAATATTAAATTAACCAAATATACTAATCAATTATAAGAGATTGAAATGGACACTACGATATTTTTAACCGTATCTGATACCAGATACAAGGCTTGTTTTGCAAAACAGTTTACAGATACAAAGTAAAGTTTTGCAGTATTTTGAATGTTGAATGATAGTTGCTGCAGTGTGCACGACAAAAAAGTCTCCCCCCACGCATCAGAACCAGTTTCAAAGTCAGAATTTTTTTGAGTTAATATTGAAACTTATGCATGTTCAGATTTTAACGATTACAAGAGCTAGAACAGGCTAGTTGGGCCGAGCGCTGAGGTCAATGAATTTTAAATAGTTTCCGTGATTGTTAACATTACACACTAGTATTCAGATGGGAAATCTTATATCTTGAAATAAACCTTTTTTAACAGAATTAACGGGTTAAAGTTCTGAAACAGTAGTAATAAATGTTAACATTACACACTAGTCAGATGGGAAACCTTATATCTTGAAATAAACCTTTTTTAACAGAATTAACGGGTTAAAGTTCTGAAACAGTAGTAATAAATGTTAACATTAAACACTAGTCAGATGGGAAATCTTATATCTTGAAATAAACCTTTTTTAACAGAATTAACGGGTTAAAGTTCTGAAACAGTAGTAATAAATGTTAACATTACACACTAGTCAGATGGGAAATCTTATATCTTGAAATAAACCTTTTTTAACAGAATTAACGGGTTAAAGTTCTGAAACAGTAGTAATAAATGTTAACATTACACACTAGTCAGATGGGAAATCTTATATCTTGAAATAAACCTTTTTNGGGGGGGGTCCAAAAATCGTATACTAGGAATATACCCACACCTATGTAAACAATATCATAAACAAACCCCACCCAGAACCTTCAAATATAAGTCTCACTTTTATCAATTTGTTTGTGTTTACAATTGATAACGTTAAGAAAATGTAATTAGCTCTCTTCTAGGTTTGATTTACAGTTAAATGTAAAAATTGAGTAAAAAGTTTGAATATAGATATCGTGCATTGAAGCAGGATTGGGTTTAACTTGAGCCAGGTGTTCACAATTGTAATGTATACAAACCTGTTCAAGAGTTGTAAGCCAACAATGGATTCATTGAAAGATTTTCACTTGGTTGATTAATATCACATCCTTCATTTGGAGACACAGATAAATTGTTTGATGGAATATGGGATGAACGGTTAGAAGGTGGATGGGATGAATGTGAAGTTAAAGGTGACAGGATGACAGGTAGTCAGGGCTCCCACTTCATCATCTACCTTCACTCAGAGCAACTGGTTAATCTCACGGCCATTGCGCGAAGCTTAGTTATCCAAACCTATAGGGCTACCAGGGAAATAATTTCCATAACTTGGCCTTTTAACTTGAAAATACTACTTTCGATGTTGTGAACATTGAACAGTATTTTTTTAAAATGGTAATTTTTTAAATACATGTTGCCTGCACTACACATGCGAAATAGGTAGAAGTAAATATTCTAGTAAATTACATGTTATTAAATGTCGTCGTACTCGCCCTGCTAACTAATTGTGGTATGTTGCCTTTTTGCTTTAGGCCTATAATAATAACACTGCATGGGTCGCAACATGATGAAAGAAAGTTGAACATATTGACAAACATTTTCTGATCATTTTCTGTAAAACATCTAATCTATATTTAACACAATCTGTAGATATTTGTTCAATCAAGGTCAATTGCACATGCATGTATTGTACAGAAATTTCTTTTTTAAAATATTAAATCAATCCATTTCTATTCATCTTATCTCCCATTCCAACCCTAATCATCAATCGTATCCAACCTTACTCCTTTATTCTCCCCAATTTTCTCCCTTTTTACCACTCTATCTATTCTCACAATTATCCCATTTTACCCCTATATTCCATCTTTCCAACATTAATCCTCTATATCTTATCCAGCCTTAATCCTCTATATCCTATCCAACCTTAATCCTCTATATCCTATCCAACCTTAATCCTCTATATCTTATCCAACCTTAATCCTCTATATCATATCCAGCCTTAATCCTCTATATCCTGCTCAATATTAATCCCCTAATCTATCCAACCTCAATCCTCAATATTCTATCCAGCCTTAATTCTCTATATTCTATCCAACCTTCTATACCCTATCCAACCTTAATCCTCAATATCTTATCCAACCTTAATCCTCTATATCCTATCTAACCTTAATCCTCTATATACTATACAACCTTAATCCTCTATATCCTATCCAACCTTAATCCTCTAATCTATCCAACCTCAATCCTCTAATCTATCCAACCTTAATCCTCTGTATCCTATCCAGCCTTAATCCTCTATATCCTACCCAACCTTAAACCTCAATATCTTATCCAACCTAAATCCTCTATATCCTATCCAACCTTAATCCTCTATATCCTATCCAACCTTTATCCTCTATTCTATCCAACCTTAATCCTCTGTATCATATCAAACCTTAATCCTCTAAATCCTATCCAACCTTAATCTTCTAATCTATCCAATCTTAATTTTCTATATCCTATCCAACCTTAATCCTCTGTATCCTATCCAACCTTAATCCTCTAATCTATTCAACCTTAATCCTCAATATCCTATCCAACTTTAATCCTCTATATCCTATCCAACCTTAATCCTCTATATCCTATCCCACCTTAATCCTCAATATCCTATCCAGCCTTAATACTCCATATCCTATCCAACCTTAATTCTCTATATCCTATCCAACCTTAATCCTCAATATCCTATCCAACCTTAATCCTCAATATCCTATCCAGCCATAATCCTCTACATCATATCAAACCTTAAATCCTCTAATCTATCCAACCTCAATCCTCAATACCCTATCAAGCCTTAATCCTCTATATCCTATCCAACCTTAATCCTCTATATCCTATCCAACCTTTATAATCCTCTATTTCCTATCCAACCTTTATAATCCTCTATATCCTATCCAACCTTTATAATCCTCTATATCCTATCCAACCTTAATCCTCTATATCCTATCCAACCTTTATAATCCTCTATATCCTATCCAACCTTTATAATCCTCTATATCCTATCCAACCTTTATAATCCTCTATATCCTATCCAACCTTCATAATCCTTTATATCCTATCCAACCTTTATAATCCTCTTTATCCTATCCAACCTTTAAAATCCTCTGTACCCTATCCAACCTTTAAAATCCTCTTTATCCTATCCACCCTTACTCCTTCATTCTCCCCATGTCTCTCTTAAACTACAAATATACTCAAGGGTCTCCCTATCTATCCTTACTCCTACTTCGTTCAATCAATCCTTACTCCGATCTGTACACCGCAACCTTAATCCAATAATCTACAAATCTAACCTTACTTTGGAGGGTTAGATTGTAATGAAAAGTATTTGATGCGTTTCTAAAATCTGATTTTCAATTAGACTATATACAAATACATATGTGCTAAAATTTCAAGTGCAATATTTGCATTAAGAAATGTTTAGCACATCATTTCTTTGAGAATTAGAAACTTAATATATCATTAGTCAACAAGAGTATGCAGGGCCGTATTCAGGAATTTGTCCATGGGGGGCTTAAATTTTTTTCTCTTTCCAGGGGGGGGGGGGCTCAGCACCCGTTGGGGCCTGAAAACCCCCTGAAATCAATAGATTTCACTGGTCCAATAGCCCCCCCTGAATACGCCTCTGACGGTATGGTATTTTATCTTGGGGTCCGAGTAACTTTAGGTAAATTATCTACCCTTCAGAAAAAAAGCTATGCGAGTTCTAAAAGATAAGGATTAAGCTCCACACACAGATCCGCTTTTTCTGAAACTTAAAATCCTAAAAATAAAGCATGATCAAATTTAATTCTGCTATTTTTATGTTTAAATATATGAATGGAAAACTTCCATTATCTTTTAATGGAATGTTCATAGCGTTAGAACCGGATAGAACAATTAAAGTTTAGATTAGAATTATTTAACAATAAATATCTAGAAAGTTTTCCTACGGGTTTTCTTCCAAGGACCTAGAACTCTGTTCCATTGGAAATGAAATCTCCAGGCTCCCTTACAGGTTTAAAACAAGTTTTAAAAAGTTTTCTTGAAGAATATAGTAATTTTCATTGTATTAATAGAGATTGCTTTTCTTGCTAAATCTTGATCTATTCCATTTCCCCGGATGTTATTGTAACATAACAAAATAAAACATAACACAATATAAACTTTGTGTGG